AAAAGTGTGGATTATTGTAACCTGGATTAAAAGTGTGGATTATTGTAGTGAAGCCTTCGTCTTCAACCATGGACAGAGGCCTCATGTCAGTGACGATCATGTTCAGGATGTTTCAGTGAAGACAGCTGCTGCTGTGGTGTCCATGATGTCTGTCCATCATGAAGGATGTTGTTGTTGTTGTTGTTGTTTTCTGGAATGAGACAGTAAATATGTATTATATCATAATTTACAGCAACTCAAGAAATGCCTTGTTTCACTTACAGTGTTAGGTTCAGACAAAAGTAGCTAAAAGAGCAATTAAACACACACACACACACACACACATAAAATACTTAATTACACACATTTGAGTAGATGTAATAAATTACTTTAATTCCTGTTTAAATGCAATTCATCCTGCCATACCTGCAGTGTCTTCAGACTTTGTCAGCAAATTAAAAGTTGAAGCTTAATCATTAAATTATTTTAATCTTTGTGTTAGATTTATTTATAAATCACATTTAAACACTGCTTGTACCAATTAAATTAAATAAAAAGTAACACACGTTCTCTATCACCGTCGTTAATCAGCAAACAAACAAACAAGCAGCTTCATCTTCAGACAGACTGACGTTACGTTTTCTCTCTTGAAACAGAACAAAGTGTTAAATTGTAGAGACTCACCTGCAACACATGAAGAGTTGTATCAGCTGCAGCTCCTTCCTCCTCCTCGTGACTCCGACATGTTTACGTTTATCTCCGTGGTTCTCCCGTGTCGTGTCGGCGATTTTCAAAGCTGCATGTTTCTCATTTTTTATCTTTGTGAAGAGCTCCCACTCTTTGGAGGACTTGGGTCGAACAGTTTTCGATGCGTTGGTCATTTGTAAAATTTACTTATTTTCCTTTGAAAACAGCCTCTGCTCTGCTTCCTCCTCCCCCCTCGCTCTGTTCAACTCGCGCTGCAGAGGTTTTTTGTTTTTTTCAAATTTTATTCAGTCAGTCAGCATTGACAATGAACTGCCCGTGAACAAAACGAAACGGCTCTGCAGCGCCGTGAAAGACGCATAATCGCGCAACACAACGAATCGATAATGAAATTCGTTGCCAATGCTTTTAATCATCGATTTTTATCGATTTTTATCGATTTTATTGATTCTTTGTTGCAGCCCTATACTCAGGGTCCCAGTTACACGCAAAAATAGCAAAAATATAAAGCATAAAAAGAACAGTATACAGTAGTATCTCGCTACTTCGTGGTTCATTTTTCGCAGACTCGCTCTATTGTGGTTTTTCATAGTAAGATTGGACGTGCAGAGGCAGCTCGTTTCACAATTTAGGGGCAGCAACTGAGAACGCTTGGTCACCTCTCAGCCTCCTGTTGGACTTTGGGACGACCAACCGCAGCTGATCAGCTTGTGCTGGTGAAGATTCAACTGATCTGCTGACCTGAGAGAGCGTGAGGGATTGTACGGCTGGAGAAGGTCGGACAGGTACTGTGGGGCAAGACCATGAAGACATTTGAATACAAACAAAAGAACCTTAAAATTAATCTGGAAACAAACTGGGAGCCAGTGTAGCGATTTTAAGACAGGGGTGATGTGCTCTTGTTCTATTTCGTATAGGCTTCGCCCTTTAAGGCTGTCACTGGTGGGTTTTATCCCGTCATGCAAAGCATCGCAATGATGAATTTAGTCCACGCCCACCTGTTGTGTGGGCCCCACCCGGTCCGTATAAATTACGTTAAGAGCGGGTAATCGGCTCCCATTTTCTTCAGCAAGCTAATAGCACTGTCAGAAGAACGAAGAAGGGAAGTTGTCCAGCTTGACCAGTACAACCTTTGTTAAGGCTGCCTGTGGTCCCGCCACGCCAACCTCCTGCCGTCCTGGTGAGTTCTCCTCCCCAAGGAGAAGCAGACGAGCAGTCTTGTTTCAAGGTAAGCGCAGAGGAATATTTCTCAGTGGCGGGTCGCTACACGCTGGACGACGCCATCTTTTATTTTTCCTTTTCTCGCCAACTCTTGGAGTGAATCAGATGGTTCCTCTAGGACAAGCGACGTCAGCAGCAGCCCCCGCTGCTCACTTCCTCCTGGAGAGCATAGTGTCGGAACGAGGGGGCTTGAGCGAATTCTCACACCCCCGGACCTTTTTCGCATCGGTGATCACACCGCTCCCAGCCGTCGGTGCCCTCCTCTGGAGCTGCCCGGCATAATCCAGGAGGCGGCTGACACGAAGGGACTTTTTTCTGTCCCTCTCCTTCCCCCGCCCAGATCGGATGATCTAGCGGGAAGGTTTCTTGGCTCCACCCTGGCTCGCCGTCCTGATCCCATCTAGCCTCGTTTTCCCAGCAGTGACGTCCTACTGGACCGAGGCTGCAGCCAGATCTGGTAGACTGAGAGTGCCGGTTTTCCACATCCGCGCCCATCACCAGAGTGGAGAGGTTTTTACCGAGTGGAAATTCCCTCGGTCACCCTCAACCCGGGTGCCTCGTCTGCTGTCCCTCCTCCCTGTCGGAGAAGCGGACGTGCTGTTCGGAGCTAATTTTCAAGGATATGCTCGAGAAATCGAAAAAGCCGGAGGAGGTGTTGGAGACTGTGCGCCATCTGACCAATCTGCACGCCTCATCCAGCCCCCCGGCCCGCTGGAAGGCTCATCGTGGCTAAAGGCAGCAAACAGAGACGTTCCACAGCTGCAGCAGCATCCTCCCGCTCCGCTCCGACGTCAGCCCCGCCCGTCAGAGAACAGCCCTTCTCATCCCGGCAACCGGCGGTTCAGCGTTTCCCAGAGATTGCCAACAGGCGACGCCCTGGGACAACAAACCACAGGGCTCACGGGGGAGAAGATTCAGGAATGACGCCTTGCGGGGGATGTGTGTGTGCAATGATGACAGGAGTTTTTGAAATATAACAAGAACATCATTCAAAGATTAAAGTGTCTGATTCAGCCTGTCTGTCAGTTCAAATGATCTCACAACGGCTCCTCTTCACACATCCTCCACATAAAATGAGCCGGTGTCCTAAAACAGGTTTTTCAAAATCACAGCAGCTCAAAGATAAACACGAGACGCTTGCATGACACAGCAGTCGATGTGAATGTGGTCTGCAGAACGAGTCCAGTTGGATAACTCGCTCTCAGCCCGAGCTGCACACTTTTCACCGCAGCGGTGTCAAACGCGCGTTCCCGCGACGCCAGCAGCCTTCACCCAAACGGGGCTGCGTTGATGAAGGCGTGCACACCTGTCCCCAGCACACGCTGGCTCGCATCAGCATGAATGTGAGACCGCAGAACGAGTCCATTGGGAAACCTCGCTCAGCAGGAGCTGCACGCTTTTCACCGCAGCGGTGTCAAACGTGTGCTCCTGCGGCGCCAGCAGCTTTCACCCAAACAGCGCCGCGTTGATGAATGCGCGCACACCTCTCCTCAACACACGCCGGTTCACATGGACATGAAGGTGAACCCGCAGCCTGAGCACAGCACAGCATGCTCAGAGCCCTTTCGAGAAAGCCTCGCCTTGGGTCACGCAGAGCACACTTCCGCAACGCATGACGGCGGTCGAGACTGTAAACTGGCTGACGTCCGTAAGAAACATGACACACCACATAAACGCGTGCCCACTCCACAAACGTTACACAGAGTGGCAGCGGACGTGCTCTCTAGACAGATGGATGAGCAGGCTGATCAGCAGGGATTATACGCTACAATTTGCAGCTCATCCCCCTCGGTTCGGAGGAGTTTTAGAGACGGTTCTGTCATCACCAGACCAGGTCTCATCCCTAAACGCAGAAGTCCAGGAACTTCTGGTAAAAGAGGTAATTTCCAGAGTTACCGACCTTCCCACCTTCCCTCAGCGCACGTCAGCTCACATCAGCATGGATGTCAGCCCGCAACCTGTGTGTGGCATAAGAACGCTGCGCACCCATGGCAGTCCTAAACCGGTTCTGCATGCTCGGGGCTCGCACACCTTCCCCCAGTGCACGCCACCTCACATCAACACGGATGTGAGCCCGCAGCCTGTGTGTGGCACAGGAACGCTGCGCACCAGCGGCAGTCCTAAACCGGTTCCGCATGCTTGGGGCGCGCGCACCCTCCCTTAGCACACGCCAGCTCACATCAGCACGGATGTGAGCCCGCAGCCTGAGTGAGGCACACATGACGACAGTGACTGGCGACCGTAAATAATGTGACGCAGCATAAACGCGTGCCCGCTTCCCGAACGTTACGCAGAGTGGCAGCGAGTGTGCGCTTCAGATAGATGGATGAACTGTTTATCAGCAGGGGATTCACGCTGCAGTACAGTTCAAACCCCCATTCGGAGGAACTCTAGAGACGTTTTCTGTCATCTCTAGAACAGATCTCATTCCCCCTCGCAGAAGCTTAGGACATTCTGATTAAAAATGTAATTTCCAGGGTCCCAAAAGGAGAAGAAAACACAGGGT